GACCAGGGGGCTGGAAACCAAGCCTTATGAGGAAAGGCTGAAAGAATTGGGCATTTTTAACCTTGAGAAAAGACTGAGGGGTGATATGATAGCACTTTTCAAATATTTGAAAGGCTGTGATACAGAGGAGGGGCAAGATCTTTTCTTGATCATCCCAAAGTGCAGGACATGCAACAATGGGCTCAAGTTAAAGGAAGCCAGATTTCAGTTGAATACCAGGAAAAACTTCCTAACTTAGAAGTGCTCCAACACTGGAGGCATTCAAGAAAAACTTATATAATCACCTGGCAGATATTATTTGATTGTATTCCTACATTGAGCAGGGGGGTGATATTGATGGCCTCCAACTTCATTTTTCTATGATTCTATGACCCGAATGAAGGTACTGCCAAAGAGACACTCATTTTTTCAATGTTTAATCATTGTCTAGGAGGAGAGACAGGGTACTGAAACTTTCTAAAGCAGTATGCAATTGTGACATTTTCCTCAAATAAATTCATTTCTAATTAAATGTGCATACTATCAAAGTAGGAAAAAATGCCAGATCTGCATATGCATGAGGGAGCTGGCATTCCCACAGTCTCTCTCTCTGAAGGCATATCCCTTTATCATGAAAATAGTCAAATTTAGAAAAGCCATCCTATATACATCAGCTTTGCATGTTTCTCCTGCATTATAGGAGGTACTAGCTGCCATTTCCAAAGATGTTCAGAAGTAGGAATGGAAAAGGAGTTTGCATTAATCATTTTAAAGACAAATTTATTCAATTCACTGTCTGTCAGATTGTTAATGAAACATTATACATGTCTTTTTATTTCTTGACACAGAAGAAGTTGGAAGACAGAGTGTCAGATTCTTTTTCTATCTCTCCAGTTTTCAAATTATTCACTATTAAATGTTCACAAGTTAAAATATGCACCTCTGAAAAATACGCCTCAGAATATTTTCAACAATGTGAAAAACAATGCAGTTAAGATACATGGGTTTAAAATGTGTATGTTAGCAAAAGTAGACAGCGAACCATGCATGCATTTCATTTCGGAACAAAAAACAAAGGCTTGGACTCTGATATAAAAAATAAGGATGAGAAGAAATTGCAGATGGGATTCAAAAAACCCCACAAAATTGAGAATTGCCCTCCCAACCACGGAATGAAGACGCGAGACAGGAATTATGGGTTAATCATGAACCACAGTTTATTAAACATAATCAGTGTTGCCATCCTTTGACAAAGTGCGAAATCAAAGGTCTCGTAAGCACAGAGGTCTCAAAGGACCCCTGAAGCAACACACAGGCGAGTCCCTGGCCCCAAGTTCTCATGTGAGAACCCAGCCGGCCCCAATTTGACTACCCCCGGGCCTCAAACCAGCTTATTGACTGCTGGTCCATTTGTGGTCCCAGCGCATCTTTCCCCCCAAGCACTGTAATCACACGATCCACAGCGCTGGGAGGTCAGATGGGCTATAGCTTACCTGAGTTTGCATTGGGACTCACCAACAAAACCTGTTATATCCGCACTACCTGCCACAGCATAGGAACTAGCCAAGCTAATGCCCACCATCAAGCTCACCAAGCACTAACAGCAGGCCCCCTTGATGTCTTCAAGGAAGACATCCAAACTTCGCTCAGTGGGATGTACACTATCGTTCTGAAAAAACAGGCCTATCCATGTGGATTCTCTGGTGACCAATCACCGATTCAAGGCAGCTGCAATCAGCTCTGCAGACTACCTTACCTTGATAACACTACTTTGGTAAAGGTTTGGCATTAGGTAAAGGTAAAGGTTCCCCTTGACAATTTTTGTCCAGTCGTGTTCGACTCTAGGAGGTGGTGCTCATCCCTGTTTCTAAGCCACAGAGCGTTTGTCCGAAGACAACCTTCTGTGGTCACATGGCCAGTGCATCTTAGACACGGAACACTGTTACCTTCCCATCGAGGTGGTCCCTATTTATCTACTCGCATGTGCATGCTTTCGAACTGCTAGGTTGGAGGGAGCTGGGACAAGCGACGGGAGCTCACTCTGTCACATGGATTTGATCTTACAGCTGAAGATCTACAGACCTTACAGCACAGAGTTTAACCCACAGCGCCACCAGGTCTCGCGCAGCGTTGGTGGGCCAAAAATGCCTCTTATCCCTCCATACCAGCTGAGGGATGGTCGTCGGCCATACAGTGCTCATTGCATGGTACAGTGCCTTCAACCATGTGATGTCACAAATCACATCAATGATCGGGCCTTTCTGCGAATCCTGGTCCGGTCGTTACCGCCCAAGTATATTACTAACACATCTGGGGGATGATGACCAAAGGCAGCTGTATGGCAAGGTTGGCCTCACAGCATCCCACGGCGTCCTTTGCATTCAATAAGGGCATAGTGAGCTGCCCAAAACATAGCTGTGGCCAATGATCATGATGTGATTCTTTCTCATCATCGTTATGGTATCTGCAAGATAAAACAAACCGGGCCCCTACCAAGACATCAGGGGGTGCCTTGCTAATTGGCCTTGGATTGGCAGATGCAAATCTGCACCATCCCATTGACTACCCTAACATCCTGTATTGCATAACTACTCCAATTTTATCTACCTTTCCAGTGGCAACACATCACAAATCCTGAGGGTGTCAAAAAATTGAATAAGGACACCACCCCGAATAAAGCAACTTCATAATCATGCCAACAGAGAGCCTGCCACTGCTTACCAATGCTTTCTAATTGTCCCGGCAATATGGGTACTCTCTAACTCTGCCTCTTTCCTTAGACCAACCTTCAGTCATTTTCCTAAAGTGGTCATCTGAAGAATAATCCTGATACCCAACATTTTTAGTGTAGAAAGCCAGCATCAATAACCTACCCTGTATAGATCCTTGCACCAAACCCCTCCTGTTTAGATACACAATGAACTGTTGAAGATGCTCCACTGGGGAAGGCCATGTTGGTTCTAAATCAATCAAGTTCCTAAACTCCAGAAAATCTATACTCACTGTCGAGTACCCCATTCGAGTCCCTGGTGCCAGGCCAGGTCTATTGTCCTTTCGCATTATCACGCCAATTTGCCAAGCCTCTGGGGAAAGAATCTCCATGAAATTGTTGGCTCCTGGATCTAACTTCCATGGCCACTCGATCCATTTCCATGATAATGCATCAGCTAAGCCGTTATCTACACCTGGTACGTGTCCAGCCTGCACCAGTGTCTTGACCTGGTCTGCATGCATGTGAGGTTATTAATTACATAGACCACTGCCAAATTGTCCACCAAAATGTATGACAGAGTTCACTCATTCCTCTGCACAACGTCACAATGCACCGACTATTGGGAAGAACTCAGAATTGTCAAATCCATTCCTCTGCACAACGCCGCAATGCAACAACTGAAGAACTCAGAATTGTCAAATCTCTGGTGTTTCCTGCGTGGTGCCATTCCACCGGCCTTTTGCCTGCGCACCATCTGCCGCTAAAGTAAATGTCAAACCCTAAGGAGCCTGCAGCATCCGACTGGACCTGAGATTCAGCCTTAAGCATCTTATCTCCTCTCCAAAAGGAAATGCCATTGCATTCAGCTAAGAACTAACCCCCAAACCTTCAAATCCTTTCTCATACCATATGCAACTCTAGTCCTGTGAAATGGGCGATGGAGCCCTTTCACCTTGCAAAGCCACAGAGAAAGGCACAACCCAGTGCCCCGATTTTACAAGCAAAATGTAAATGTCCTACCATCTCCTGAAGCTCCCTCAGGGACATTTTTCTCCTTTGCAAAATCGAGGCTACTCTGACCTTGTGGTCAGCCAACATGACATCTGGCAGCCTAGATGCTTGCTGTAAGATTTTTGGCAAAAAATGCCTTGAGCTCCCCAACCGCTGGTATCCTAGAGCCTTTCCTAAAAAAAAACAAAAAAAAAACAAAAAAACCCAGTAAATACACATCCCCACTCCTACTCAGAGATTCTGATTCAGAGCAGTCTTTCCTGTAAGGTGTCCACTATCAGTCCTGTCACCTGGGGTCATAGCCTACAGCCAGAGGCCCGGCAGGGGCTTGTCCCAATGTAAATTTGGGTTAAATGCCCCTCTCCTGTGAAACGATCCATCGTACACAAGCCATGCTTGTCCTGCAAAGTCCACATATGCCTTATAAATCAAGTCTAAATATTGGAATAAGGATTGCGCCCATCATAGCTGGGCATTTACCACAACCCCAGTGCATATTGAGAACCTGGGCAGCTGATTCACCCGTGTCTTGTCTGGTCTCTGCCCCTTGCATTTCTCTTTGTTCTTGCCGTCCTCCTGATCCAAATAGTTCTTTATCACGTCTCTGGTCAGCAATTCAAATAAATCTATCTATTTGCCTTTCAAATCTTTTCTTTAGACACTTGGGTGAAGTGATCACCCAGGGGCATAGCGGATCTCCAAATGGCAAGGCTTGCAATGGCGGAGTGTTATAACCCATGTCCAAGACTGTTGGTTATGGCCAAGCCCCTACACTCACCATCGTATTTATCATAACTAATGGGTTTGGAGTAGTCCAGCCGCCAGTGCACATTCAATGAATTTGTTGCATTTTGATGTGCACATTCAATGAATGTCAGAGACAGCTGTCTTACATGCACATATATTTATCAGTGGAATTATTTTATGTTGGTTGATATTCTATATGTGTGTGAGATACATAGTGGGAAAGATGGAGAGAATGTGATGCAAATGCTATTGGAAAACAGAATTATATCTTTAAAATTGAGCCCCTTTTCATCTTTACACCCATGACTATGATTTAATTTTACACTTTTCAATGCAAAATATTTGAATATTGAATCAGAATATATTGGAGTTGAAATCTAAGAAGAATCACAGAGACCTTTCTCTTATCTGCATGAACCCTTCATACCTTCATTTCCTTATTTTTGCATTCATCTTACTTGTGGAGTTGGAGTTTTATTCTTGGACTAAGCATCCCACCCCAACAATAGTTGCTTAGAATATGTTTTCCTTTGCAGGATTTATTGTCATCACATCCAGACTGAGACCAATGAAGCCAGATTTGCAGATGGCATGCTTCTGCTAAGCCAAAGTACATTTCTAGCAATGTAGAGATGGACATCAGCTGCCTGAAAAGAACAGTACGTTGTTTCCTTTTCTCCGCTGGTGGCTCTTTCCCACCAAACGTTCATACCAGGTGACTATGTGTTCGTGGTTTCAGCTATCATGGCAATTCCCTAGTTGTTGATGGGCAATCTTACCATCTGGCTATCTTGGTCTTAGATGGAGTTATGGTGTCATAAGATTGACATTATTTTCTTGAAAGCTTTTATGGCTGGGATCCGATGGCTGATGTAGGTTTTTTGGGCTGTTTGGCCATGTTCTGGAGGTTTTTCTTCCTAATGTTTTGCTAGTCTCTGTGGCTGGCATCTTCAGAGGATAAGAGTTAGAACTCTGTCTGTGTTCTGGTTTAGTGTGTGGGATAGCTGAGTATTTGTAGCTGTAGGATCAGCTTTTTGTCCTTTTTAAGAAATTGGGTGATTATGGTGATCAGGGTGGTTTTTTTGTTATGGATGTATTGTTGTGATAAGGGGGGAGATGATCTGTCACTGTGATTAATGGGCGTTGTTACCTTGTTTCCCTGAAAATAAGACCTACCCCTAAAATAAGCCCTAGTTAAGTGAACCCCTGCCCTCCACCATTGTGCAGCAACCAGAAGATAACATGACTGTATTTGAATAAATGTAGATTGTTGTACCTGAAAAAAAAACATCCCCTGAAAAATAAGCCCTAATGTGTTTTTTGGCACAAAAATTAATATAAAACCCTGTCTTATTTTGGGGAAAACATGGTAGTTAGTCTTTTATGTGCAGTGATCACCAGTCCTTGTGGCTGGGGAGAGGTCATTGACCTTTGTTGTATTTTTGTGGTGGACCTGAATACTGTTTGTAGGTTGTGTTTTTTCAACAAATGTTGAAAAACAACAAATGTTATGGTCAGCAAGAAAGAGAAACCTCCAGAACCTACAACAAACATTGACATTGTTTTTCCTCTATTTTTGGGAAGGTCATTTCATTTCCATCATTGAAATTGCAAGTGAAAAAATGAAGATTAAAAAAAATCTGTTTAAATTCAAATCAGCACCAGAAATAGAGAGTTTAAACTTGTGTGGTTCTGTTTTCATCCAATTCATATAGGAAAAGTCACTTCATAAAACTAAATACCAGCTCATTCATTGAAACTGAAAGATGAGTACTTCAGGACAGGCAAAAATTAATCATTTTTTTCCACATAGCACACAATTAAATTATGACAGCACAAACACAGTGGTCGCCACCAACGTGAATGACTTTAGGAAGGATTCTGGATAGATAAAGCTACTAGTGGTTGCCAGTGAGATTCTGAAACCTGAACTATCAAATTCAGGGAAAGTATGTCAGTTCAGGAATTCTAATACCTGAACATCTCCTTATGAGCCCTACAGAAATGTATAGACCTCCAGGGAAAAATCAGAAGCCTGTGTTCACCACAGCTGGCATTTATCACAATGAAGGGTTAATTCCAGAATGAAATCCGACAACCTTTTCCAATCCAATCATTTAAAAAAAATCATCAAGGCGTAAGTCTTTTCACTGTTGCAATAATTCAGTTAATATCAACTTGCCTATTTCTTCAAGTTCTATTTCTACATTGCTTCTATTTTCCATATGCACAAAATTACTTCAGAGTTGTACAAATTAAAATAGTCTTACAGCTATGGAAAACTGTAGGCACAAATACTTAAAAATGTATGAAAACATCACTTTCAGGCAAATATTGACATCGGAATTCAATCTCAAATACAGTAGAAATATATTTTAAGAGCAAAAAGGAACAATGAAAATGTTTCAATTACATTCTAAAAATGCAAAAACCTATAGCCTAAGAAGGCACATTGGAGGGAAAAACAGAATACAACTCTGAACTATCAATGTTTTTAGGAATAAAAATATATTCAAGAAAGTGACTTTCTCAGCTTCCAAGCATATTATGAACACATACAAATTAATACTAAATGGTCACCCAATCAAACCACTTTGAACTTATGGAGGAAAATCTATGTTTATTGTGTTGCTGGCTTTTGGAAACTAAGCCTACTGATATGCTGCTACATGTTGTGTGGCATAGCACAAAATTGCTTTGTGATGATGAGTTGAATTCATGTTTTCGCATCTCATTTCCATACATTTATAGTTCTTCCAGTTGCTTAGCTTTCCCTTCCAGCTACAAATAATTGTTTCTTCAGGGACCTGGATAGCCAAGAAAAAAAAATTTAAATTTTGGATTTCTCTTTAAAGTGTTGTTGCAGTTCTTAACTGCAAGGGCTTATAACTCAAAATCTGGCAAGCTATCGCTCTGACAATAGCATCATTGTTTTAACTAAAATTTTGCAAACCCTAGAGGAATAATGGTCTGCAACATAAATCCTCTGATATACCAGAGTCTTGGACAACCAGCATCCTGGAGAACTAGAATACTGTATTATAATTATAGAGAGTGCAAGTTATAGGACCTCCAAATGCAACCTCCATACTTACACATTGCAACATAAATATATTCAACTCTCAGGAACACCTTGCTTAGCTAATTGCCGGAGCTAGCTAATTGCTTTTCAATAACTTAAATAAACTATTGTTCAAGACTCATTTTTAAAAACATTTTCATTTTCAGGGCTGCTTTTTCTACACCATCTTTAATTCTTTTAACACTCCATGAACACAATACTTCACATCCTGATATCATCCCCTCTCCAACAGCTGAATGTGAAACTATCTTGAGCGAAGATCTTTCCGTTGTTAAAATTCAACTGGATTGCTGTCATTGGTGTCAATCTAGGTTGATCTTCTGAAAAAGATCTGGACAAATTGCTTGTTTCTCTAATGGGAAAAGGAATAAAGAAAGGAAGACAAACCAAATCAAGCAAAAACAAAGCTGCTCCTCTTTTTGTCTGTAGACAAGAGGAAAGCATTTGCTTAGGCGTTACTAGTACGAGTGTGGCTTTTTAAAAAAAAAACATTTAAATGCCACAGGCGGCTTTGAAAATTGTTGTTGAAAATTTTGCTGAGGAACAAATAATTATCAACTGATTCAGACAATTAGAGCTAGCAGACTGCATGAAAAGGAAATAAACAATATATTTTCTAAATAAGCACCTGCATTTTTAGAACGCAACTAGAACATTCTTTTTGGAATTTATTTTTCTGTATTTTGGACTGAAGCACTTGAGAACATCTATCTGTACCCTAGCACAGTGGTCCCCAACCTTGGGCCTCCAGGTGTTTTTGGACCAACTCCCAGAAATCCTGGCCAGTGGAAGTGGTCATGAAGGCTTCTGGGAGTTGTAGTCCAAGAACATCTGGAGGCCCAAGGTTGGGGACCATTATCCATATTGATTACCCAGTCAGATAAAGCCATTAGTTGTTGCCAGTCACTATGTGTGTTCTGTGCTGTCAAATTGGAACCGACTTATAGCAACCTGAACAGGGCTTTTAGGTACTATTCTGTGGTATAGTTATGCAAAAGGCATCATCCAAAGGTCCCAAGGCTGTGGTGTAATACTCTTAATCATTAGGAATCCACTGGGAGCTGCATTATGCGAGAAATACACCAACGTTTGGATAGCAATGTTCTACATAAGTTTTTAACATAAAATAAGAGGCAGATTAAGTATTCTCAACAGTTATTTTAAATGACTAAATGGTTGAGGACCATTTCGTAAGAGGCTAATGCATCTAAAACAAATGACTAAGGAACAGTGCTGCAGAAATTAGACTTGGTGGGAAAGGAAACCACTTTCATAACCAAGAGCTGGTTTCATAACACTTAAATATGTTTGGTGTTTAGAAATGCAGCCTTGACAAGACAATGAGCAGAATGAAGAGATAAAAAAGATTATTTATCCTGTGGCCAGTTGTGCTTTAAACTAACCAGAGAAAGTAATCTAATCAGACTTTATTAAACTGAATCTGCAATGCATACCCTGTGCCCTCAAGCATTGTCTGAGCTGGCCAGTAGACTAATCCTGCTTTAGGATGCTTGCCAGTGCTGTAGCCTTTTCACAGCAGGAACTATCACTATGTTTAACTTAATTATTAAGAATGCTGTTTTTATTTAAAAAGAGAAAAAAAAACACTATGGATTTTAAGGTCACAGCATCTATGGAAACAATGTGGAGAATCTCCGCATAACGAAATATAGCTAGAGTGTCTATTTAGATCATTAAGGGGTAGGAGAGGAGTGGTTTGCCTTGAATTTGCAAACAGAAATCCAAAATATTGGAGTCACAATATTGTGATGGGTTTGAAACTAAACCGAGTAGTACCTCGGTTTACGAAATTAATATGGTCTCTGGAACATTACGTAATGTCGGAAATTAATAAATTGAAATGCGGATTGCCATAGGAATGGGGGTGGCACTACAAACCTCCAGGCACAATGCATCCTGGGGAAAATTTCTTTGCAAACCAAAAAGAACCGGGGGGGGGGACATAAACCGAAGCATTATTTTCAACGGATTTCCATTTGTAAACCGAAAATTACATAAACCGAGGCATTTGTAAACCAAGGTACTACTGTAACCTTCCAGGGCTCCATTCCAGTTTAATGCCTTTGACTAAAATAGATTCAGGAACTCACTGGAACTCTAGTGCTTACGACAAAATGTTTGTTCAACACATAAAGAGTGGGGAGACTTTAGGCCTACCCCCTCCATTGTCAGATGAAAAGGACAGGGCTAAAGAGAGGAGGCTCATCTACCCATAGAGGCTTTTCAGGTGAGCCAAATTTCTGGCTCACATGGAGAGCCTTCATGAGTAGAAGAATCTCTCCTTTTTGGAATGGTCACTTTTACTGGAGCAAAGTGACAACACTTGGGAGAGAGGACTGCATGCCCCCTTCTCATGTGCTGAATAAACATGGTATTGTAATAATTTGTAGGGATGTGGTGGTGCTGCGGGCTAAACCGCAGAAGCCTGTGCTGCAGGGTCAGACGACCAGCAGTCGTAAGATCGAATCCATGCAATGGAGTGAGCTCCCGTCACTTTGTCCCAGCTCCTCGCCAACCTAGCAGCTCGAAAGCATGTAAACGTGAGTAGATAAATAGGTACCATCTTGGTGGGAAGGTAAAACGGCGTTCCCTAGTCACACTGGCCATGTGAC